CTGCCCTGCCATGTGCCATTCTGTGTGAATAGAGGCGAAACACTAGCATTCTGATTCTGAACAGGGACAGTTCACATTAACATTCAATGTGCTACCCAAGCCATGAGGTCTTCGACTCTTTGTTAAGACAGACAGTCCTGTTTTCTAATTTACATGACGGAGATAATGGAGATCTGCCAGGACAGTACAGACGGGGGTTAATTATCTGAAACAAAACACCCCCAACCCCTCAGACAGTGAGCACTAAGCAGGATTGTGGAGTCCTGGAATATGCAGAAAGAGCATCTTAAAAACCGTAAGCAGCAATTTTAAATATTTCTTAAACTTATGCCATGTAACAGGGAACACGGAACAGAAATAAAGTACAGTCGGTGTTCTCCCAATATGGCTGCAAAAGCGGGAATACAATCTGTGTGGACATAGACTTGTTCTGATAGAGAGCAATTCTCCCAGCCCTTTCCCCCCATCCAACTTAGCTCACAGCCCCAGGCAAGGACAATGAGTGGGGAGCTGAAGGGAAATTGGGCACCAATGATACCCCAATTTTTCAAGTCTAGCACGGGGCAATGTTTCCAGAACGTAGATTGCCGACAGCAGGCCATTTTTAAGCAGTGTCGTGGCCTGGTACACCACAGAAACCCCTTGCTGAAATACTCCAAGTAGGCTGTGTCCCCAAATGCATTTCAGTGTTGACACGGTGTATACATGTAAGTCATATAGATCAATAAGAACCTTTATATAGCATCTTCCATCTACAAAAATATAAAGTGCCTTCTCATGTGTCTACACGTGGTGGGAAAGCTTGGTCATGTACGGCGTCCATAGGGCGGGGGACGCCGGACACCTGGAATCCTTCCACTGTAGTCATACCTGTTTCACTTCTTCGTTCGCCTTCTTCTCCACATTGACCGATGTCAGGCCTGAGACCCCCAGGTTCTCCCGGTAGAAGTCTTGAGTGTAAGCATCGCAGTCATACAGGAAGAACTTACGCCCCAGGATTGTGACGTGACTTCCCACCATGAAATCTCGGGGCGAGTACCACTTGGCCACCTCCTGAGGTGAGATCTCCAGGACACATTTGGGGAAGGTGTCTATATGGGAGAAATAAGAGATTACTGGAGAGAGCAGAACCCATAACCGTACCCAACCTCACAACAAGAGGCACCAGACATGGCTCAAAAAGTATTTCAGAACAGGAGTCGCGCACTCCGGATTGGCACCGCCTTCAATTGCAAAGCGTGGCATGGCTGGGCATTCAAGGATATCGAGCCCATAACCTTACCTGGCCTCCATGCCTGCCTCCGGTCCTCTGTGCTCTCCAAGCTTCCTCAGCTGCCAGTGTTCACTGTATTGCCAATCTTGTGCCCCCAGTGTCTACAGGGCACCCCAGTGTCTACAGGGCACCCTGTGTCATTTAGTGACCCCAAGTGCACCCCTGTTTGTCCCAATGACTCCAAGTGCACCCCAGAACATCCTGTGTCATCTAGTGACTCCAAGTGCACCCCAGAACATCCTGTGTCATCTAGTGACTCCAAGTGCACCCCAGTCTACAGGGCACCCTGTGTCATTTAGTGACCCCAAGTGCACCCCTGTTTGTCCCAATGACTCCAAGTGCACCCCAGAACATCCTGTGTCATCTAGTGACTCCAAGTGCACCCCAGAACATCCTGTGTCATCTAGTGACTCCAAGTGCACCCCAGAACATACTGTGCCTTCTAGTGACTCCAAGTGCACCCCTGTTTGTCCTTATGACTCCAAGTGCACCCCAGAGCATCCTGTGCCTTCTAGTGACTCTAAGTGCACCCCCCAGGTGTCTTGCGTCATCTAGTGTATCAAGGTACATCCCTGTGCGCCCCTATGATTCCAATTAGTCATATAGTGACTCTAAATGTGTCCCAGTGCACCCAGCGTCATCTAGTGTCTGTATCCCATCGCACTCCTAACCGGCATTCAATCCCAACTAGTAATGGGAGGGTGCAGCAGTGATTGCGGATGGTGCCGCACATCAATCCATAAATAACCGAAGAAATCACCGGCACTCCAAAGTTCAGAATGTCAGGTTGACTTTATTGCTGGAAAACGTGGGCGGAAATTGCACAGGCCCCTTGTGTCCTGCTCTCACTTCTCAGCACCTTCTCACCTTTTATATCTTTAATGGCCTTCGGTAGACGTTGCCTCTTCATCAGCACAGGGAAGGGATCTCTTCCATCGTTCCTTTCATGGACCTCTCTGACCTCCACCGTGTCATCCATGAGGTAGTAATGTATGATGACGGGGAGCGTCTCCCCAAACATGCTGTCAGAGTCATCCCACAGAGAGAAGAACCTCAGCACCTTTCAAGGTAGAGAACATTGAAGAACCTGAGAGTGCAGGACGTTGTCTTCATACAAGCCAATCACCATACAGCACAAGCCAACGGAACCTCCCCAGAGGAACACAAAGTATGGAGGCAAAGGACAGAACTCTGCCAAAGTCCTAGCTCTGCTGACCACAAACAATGAATTGGCTAAGCCCATAAGATCATTTTTTGTCATCTCTACTTTTCCTTTATCCCGGCCTTCTAAAAATAACAAAATGGCGTTACAGTGTGCGCGATCAGCATAAGAGGCACCTGTTGGGGTAAGCGCTGCTGGACATACTCATGGTAGTGAATAGCAACGCCTGTCCTAAAATGAACCCATCTCCTACAGCCCACATAATCATCAACTTTCCTGTAAGGCACATGCAGAGATGACGGTTATGTACCGAGGCCAGGAAGATCATTAGAGGTCATAGATAAATGGACTGGCGGAACTACCAGGGTCGCAACTGCGACCGGGCCATGGCTTTCCGCCTGTTGGGGGCGGGGGCAGAGAGAAAGAAGAGGGCCCGCAGGTCCCTTATGCCGCCCACAGCGTTCGTCAAACTAAGCAGCGTGGCAGATGCTGTAGCCGGGGGGTGGAAAGGGGAGAACTACATTTCCTAGTAGGCAACGTGGCGAGGGAGGTGAACGATACGGATTGCAGATCCAGGCAGCGTGGCCTTTGGAGAGAGGTGCGGTAATCAGCAGCCACCGACAGAGAACAGGGACAGAGAACCAGAGGATGGAGAGCTGCAGGTACCGAGGGTAGTTGATACTATGTCATCCTCATTCCCCCTCCATCACTTACTGATGTCTGTGCCCCCCCCGCCCCATACTATCTGTGTTCTACCCAGTGAGCATTCCCCAATCTATCCACCTATAATAGACTATTGTCTGCGTATGACCCCCCACTGATATTTCCCACCATGGGAAAGAGCTGCGGAGCGTCTGCCTACTGGGAGCTGTAGTCCCAGGGGGCAATGTTGGCACCTTGGCGGTTAACAGGCCCGCCAAGTGGTGGAACGCCAGAGCCCAGTCGCAGCTACCACTCTGGTGGTTCCAGCACTTGGGATGCCCGGACAGTAGGAAGAGGGCCCCATTAACCGATTCAGCTCCCAACATGCAGGAGGGGGGGCTCCATGGTTTCTGGCACCAGGGGCCATGAAGTTTCTAGCTGCATGTCTAGACAGGCAGACGCTCATTAAGGATATACCTTGCGGTCCATGGTTAGGAACTGCTTGAGTCTGTCGAAATCAGACGGAGTGGTGTAGGTGTGTTGGGGCTGTTTGCGGAGCTCGGTGTAGGGATCAGCAGGGATTCCTTCTGTGGGGTTCACTTCAATACCTTCACTTTCGAAGAAATCCTGTGGAAGAAGAGAAGAAGCAGATGTGTATATAAGATCTGAATGGCCCCCTTGTCCTCCAGTTGTAATGTCAATAAAGTCAGACAATAAAGAGGACACCCCGACCAGGGTGTACCCTAGATTTCCATCCTCGGGTGAGCCCCCCGTCACCTGTCACAGCCTATAGGAACTTTTCCCGGATCTGAGCAGGATTCTGTTCCCTGTCCTCGTCGCGCTCTGCGCGGTACCTTTGTGAATGGGTCACAGCTGACAATATGGAAGGTCCTTCCATACAACGTGACGTTGATCCCCACGTTGAGGTCCTTCCAGTGATAGGGATCGCCGTTGTCGTTCTTGGGGTGCCTCTGACGCTTGATGAATGCTCCCTGAGGTATTCCGGAGTTCTCCACCAGGGGCTCCACCACCGATATGCTGTCATCTTCCAGGTAGTAGTACATACACACTCTGCGCACCCTGTAGTGCTCCTCCTGGGAGATGGGGACGGTCTCCTGGAAGTACGCATCAAACTTCAACACCTGAAAAGGCAAAACAAAGCAAACGGTTCAGTGGAAACACACAAATATAATATCCACAAGTCACTTTTATATCCATTCGTCAGTCCAATCCAAGATGGAAGAACTATGGCCTCCCAGTTCTACTATCTACTAAGCCTGCCAGTAAAGTCCACCTCATGGAGCTTCCTGTGATGGGGTGACAACAATGCTGCCCTGCTCCTAAATTCAGTGCAGAGTTGTCACCCTCATGTAGGCTGTGCTTGCTTGCACTACAATGGGATGAGATCTTGCAGGGGGCGTGGCTACCAGCATTGTCAGCCTGCCCACACCTAGACCCTGGACTGGCAAACCCTCCCACTGTGAGCTGCCGTGTCTGGGAGGGGGAGCGTGTGAGACCCAAATGAAGGACACGCTTCAGCTGCAGCAAGTCAGACAGAGCCCGCCTCAGTCAGGGGAAGAAAAAGAAGTTATTTTGGATTTGGGACTTGTTTAGACTTATTGTCGCTTAAACTGCCTATTTTTATTTTGCAGCAATGCTTCCCCTCTAACACTACAACTGGGCTTTCAGTTTCAGGGGTGATTTTGGGGGGGTTTTCATTTCTTTTTACTTCTTTTTTTTAATATATTGATGGTTTTGGTGCTCAAAGTGCAGCATTCGCTTGTTGCTGAGCGTCGGTTTTCACAGCTTGTATTCTTTGCAGCCCAACACTGCATTGTGCCATAAAGACACCAAAAAAATATAAATAAAGTGTGCACCTAAACCCCCCCAAATTATATCACCCACATTCACTGCACTCCCCCATCTCCATAGATAAAATAAAAGTTAGGCATACACCAGTTGGGCCTGTTTTCCCTAATTAAAACTGCCCTGCTGCTGGCCAATTTTACTTTGCTTTGTCATTTGCAATCTCTTATTTTGGCCATCCCCCATCCTGAGACACTATCCCCCCCCCCCCTTCCAACTTTACATTCTCTGATTGGTAAGACCATCTATATGGTGATGGGTTACAGGCCAGCTATGACCGTACAGGTTCGTGTACTACGTACTAGACAGCCGGTAGAGTACCGAAGCATCCTATAAATGTCAATTACTACAAGAAAACATAACATTTGGTAGAAAATACACATTAAGAGTACTCAGTGGTGCTGTGGACCCTTCACCAGACCAGCACTGGTAAAGATCCCACAATGCACTGGGTGGACAGTACTGGTGGATCAGGTCCACGGTGAATCTACTGGTCAGTGCCATTCCTTGGTTCGTCCGGACTGGCTTGTACATTGCTAATGACGGCAAAGATTCCTTCCAGGCAGGAACATGAATACATCAATATGTGGGAGGGTACGAAGCTCAGAATGGTGTCAGTGATCGCTGACCAATGCCTACCTTCTTATCAAATGCCACGTGTGTCGGGATGAAGGAAGAAGGCGGGGCTTGCTTTGCTTGGCCATAGGTCAGCGTTGGTCTCTTATTGGCCAGCTCATCCAGTTCAGCCTGTGACAGCTGGTTCACCGTGATGGGGTCACGTCCGAGCCCCACCGTTGGGAGCAGCGGGCGAGTAAATCCATTCTGATAGGTCAGCGTCTGAGACACGTGGAAGGACGATTTCTGAAACACCAAGAAGAAGAATCAGATAGTTAGAACCTGCAGCAAGTCAGACAGAGCCCGCTTCAGCCACAGCAAGTCAGATAGAGCATGCCTGTGCCGCAGCAAGTCACACAGAGCCGGCCTCAGCCGCAGCAAGTCACACAGAGCCCGCTTCAGCCGCAGCAAGTCACACAGAGCCGGCCTCAGCCACAGCAAGCCACACAGAGCCCGCTTCAGCCGCAGCAAGTCACACAGAGCCAGCTTCAGCCGCAGCAAGTCACACAGAGCCAGCTTCAGCCACAGCAAGTCACACAGAGCCCGTGAATATAGTCATCAGGCCGATCATTCTGGGGAACATCGCTGGCTCCCTGTGGCGACCTCTCGGTACACAAGTCAATGAGGAACTACAAGTCCCAGGAGGCATTGCAACACTCTGACAGCCATGGGCATGACTCCCAGAGGCAGAAGGATGATGGGATGTGTAGTTATAGCACAGCTGGAGGGCCACAGTTGTTACCTCTCTGCTAAGCAATGAACCGGCTGGAACCCAGTAACAGAATAATCGCCTATGCCAATGAATGAGTCCACAGGAAGTGTATACAGATCTATCAGATATAAAAGGGGGAGGGGCAACGACACACCACAGACATCACAATGTATCATTCATCTATAATCAGTGACGATCCTGTTTATAAAAGGCGGCGGAATCTCTAAATCGCGTTTTGCCGCAATCGGCGTCTATCTGCTTCGCAAACATTTCAGGGCGAAGAGTTGTGACATCAAAGCGCGGGGCCGAAACGCGTACAAAGAGCTGCAGATTGCGGGAAAGAGGGACAGTCATGAGCCGTGTTG